ACCCCAGGCTTTCTTTTATATGTGAACACCTCCAATATTTGCTTGTGCTCAGCAGACTTCAAAGAGACCTTCAGGTGGGAAGAGGAGAGAAAGGTTTTGCAGGCAGAAAGCGGATCTCATGTTCACAAATGAGCAAATTTCAGAAAGTCTGTTGGAAAAGGAATTAGTAACCCGAGTTTGAAAGAGGTCACAGTATTTATCCAGGAAAATAATTAGAACCAACTGGAGGTGGAGGAGGTCCCGGGGTTTGTTCAGGAGAGTGTAAAAGGAAAGGGCTTTATTACTTGAGATCTTTGAATTTTTAAAATGTGAGACGTGATGTCCTATTACTAATGGAGGGGCTGATTTCCTCATCAGTGTCTGGAACAGTGCCTGACACACAGTAAGCTCTCAGTAAACATTTACTGAAAAAATGAGTGAGGAATGAACGATTTGACATTTTAAATGTTTATCCATTGTATGCCTGAAAATTACGTCTATAGCACATAAAATATGCCTCTCTAATAGGGAGTGAGGTGAGGATGAACAGTTAGCCTTGGGGCTGCACATCTAAAGCCACACTCTCTGCTCCCTGGTGTTAGTCAGCTCAAGCTTACACTTTGATCATCCATCTGAAGGGGAGGAAAGAGGGCTTATTTGTCGACCCTCCTGAATGAAGTCTTAATAACAACTGTATTCATTTGCTCTAAATTTAGGTTTAATGATACTTTAAACTTAAAAAAAAAAAAGTGATGTTGGTTTCAAGAATACATAGTTAATATAATGTAGTCATTCACCACCACCCCCATTTAGACAGATTTATCTCCCCAATCATGGGAACCACGGAACAAGTGCAGGCCTTACTCACCAACCCAGCAGGTTCAACAGGCACATCCCTAACTGCATTGCACCTTCTCTGTAAGCAGATTGGAAGGAGAAAAATACCCAGAAGACATGGAGCCAAGTATGCCTGTGTCCTTCTCCCACATATACCCAGTGGGAAGCAGTGGGAGAGGAGAAAGGGAAAAGAAGCTGGAAGCATCGATCCCTTAGTTTCTCTCCCAGGGACTGGAGTGGAGAGTCCCTTCCTTTATGGCAACATAAGGAGTGGGCAATGATTATCCAAATGAACAGTTATTTCAACATTAGCAATGCTTTAGGAAATGTATTTGTCTGCCCTAGAAATCAAGTGTGTTGGCATTTTCATTTGCCTCACTTCCTTCTGCTTCAAGGTTATATAATCTTTGATGTCTGGATCATGCCCAGATGTTGGTCATTTAATCCCTTATTGATGAGGCAGCATTTAACCACTGCAGATGTTGAGGTGATTGATCTACAACCTGGTGCCTCACTGCTCCTGAGGGCGTAAGAAAAAAATGACCACTTTCCCCGTGGATACTATTTTTGGAAAGCTGTGCCCACTGTGAATATAAGGACACCTTGGGTGTTTTTATATGATTGAGGAAAGACACTCTTCTCCAAAGGGCAGAGGTTCAGGCAGAGCCAACCAGAAACTTGCTGGCGCATTCACTTTAGGAGGCAGCAAAAAGCTTAGAAGGTGGGGGCTGAAAACTCACGCTGCAGGAGAAAGGCACACACAAGCACACCGTCTCACAAACATGCACACGCACGTACACGCACAATCTGTAACACTAGCTTTTAGAAGAAGTTTTAGACTGTGTGGAGGAGACAGACTGAAGATGGGTCATAACTGTTATATGACACTTCTTAAATTTCCCTGATAAAGAACACGGTAATGTTGATTCAACTACACAGTAATGCAATCAGCTTTCATGAGTAGTTAGTTGTAGAACCAGATTCATTATTTTATATGTCAAACCACTTAGAGCTATGATGTCTAGCTCAATGACAAAATATTTTGAGGGATTTGCACAAACTAATAAACATCATGTAATTTATTGGTGCATTGGAGTCTGAACCAAAGTTAACCAAAATATCTTTAAAAAATGTCCCTTTTGCGTGACTTGTGTAATGAGGAGCATCTGTATGCTTCACTGGCTGATTCTAAATTCTAGTAACTTGTTTACTTAGGGAGATTTCATATAATGTAACTTAATGATGCATACAGTACAGATAAGTGATTCACTTTTCCAAGGTTTTTTGTTTTGTTTTTGTTTTTAGTATGCTGTGTCCTCTGCCTAGAATATTATTCATAGTAAAGACTGTCAAAAGTCAGAAACAAACCCTTGAGATTGCCTAGTGAAAATCTTTTATTTATAGATGAAGAAATAGATTTAATAACAAAACCAGGGTGAGAATACAGTTTTCAACTCTCAATCCTTTGTTCTTTTACCCATCCTTTAAAGCCTAGGACAAGCCGCCCCTCCTTCATGAAGCCTTCCTTGACCCCCAGACTTTCACGAACCCCTAATCATGGTCTACTCTGTGCCATTTAGCATTTGGTTAAAAACTCCTGTCACTCCCCAAATTATATTTTACTCCTGTATCTCTAAGGAGATTATTATCTCAAGGACAAAATCCACGTTTTATGATACTCTTCACTGAAACACCACAGTACCTAGCAGAATTATGTGCACCATGATTATCTTCTAAGGGATTTGTCCCTTTTTTAATGAATTCAGCACTTTCTTCCTTTTCACTTCACCGCTACCATCCTCTTTCATAACGTAAACTTTTGTATGCATGACTTTTCATCCATACACACGTGCGTGCACACACACACACACACCTCCCGGACACCTAGCACTGCGCCTGGCACATAATAAGTACTCAATATCATCTGCAGAGAGAGAGAGACACAGGGAGAGAGAGAGAGACGAAGTTGGTTTTTGAAGTTACTGTAATCAGGGAAGGTACACAGGTACACACCATAAGTAGGATTTCAACTGAGCCTTAAAGAAAATATATTGATTAACATGCAAAACCCAGAAGGGAAAGCTATATTTAAGGCAAAGAATATCCTGTATTTTAATCCCAAATCGAGCACTTTTTCTTTGTTTAATTGCAGGCCATTTACTTAAGCTCTCTGAATCTCTATTTCGCTACTTGCTGAACTAGGATAATATTATATATCTCATAGTGTTGTTATAAGAAATAACTGAGATAAATTATGTAGTAGGATTCAACAAATAGTAGGTATTAACAACAACAAAAATTAATATTAACTCCCTGATTCAAGAAGCCAGTAGAAGTGCCGGTGAGGGCATAATGGGTAGCTCAACTAGGCGAGAGCCACACGTTTTCCAGAGGGAAATGATAGATGGCAGTAGAGGGAGAGGCCAGATTTCGTCACCATCTCTCTCCGACTACCTCTAAGCTTAAAGCTATCAAATGCATCATTAAATTCACTGCGGGATGTGATGAAGGCCAAGGACTATGAAGCAGTCCTTTCTCAGTAAAGAGCACGAAAGCTTTGAAACAGACAAGACACAAGTTGTACTCCCCGATCTAGCAGTGGAGTAAACTTGAGGCAGTTGGCTGTAGCAGGTGATAAACAAGGAATATATACAAAGCTGCTACCATGATGCTAGGCACATGGTGGACACTCAAATCTTCGTTCTCTTATCAGGGATGTACCAGCATCATATCCCGCCACTCTCTCTACCTTTCTTTGCTGTCTTTGCCTCCTCCTACGCTTTACTCTGTCTTTCTTGGTCACCCATTTCTTTCATCTTCTTACTCATACCTTTGGCATTCAAAAGTGTTTACTGAGATTCATTTCATCCGAAAGCCTTTATAGAGCACTTACCGTAACTCGGGCACTGTGCTAATAACACTAGATTCAAACACCACTGCCCTGTGCTACCCTTGGAAGTACTTCAAACTCATGTGCATGAATGAGCATGTCCTCTCAAGGTAAATTAGTTTGCAAAGTGCATCAGCGTGAAGTTAAAGCCACACTGCAGGCCAAACGTGCTCGCATCTTCTGTAGTTCTGTAAATGTGTGTGGGCATAGCATAACAAAACCCAGGAAATCTGGGCTAGGTACCACTCAAATGGCAGGAAGCAACAATCAGTAATGGTGGACACAGAAGTCAAAGCATAGCCAGGCATATCCTTTTGACCCCTGAATCCTACTTCTGGCAATTTAGCCTCAGGAAATAATTATGGAGATGCACAAAGATTTAGCTAAAAGATGTCCCTTGCAGGCTTGTTTATATAACACTGCAAAAGTAAAACAAGCCTTAACATCTAAAGATAGGTTAACCCAATTATGCTTTACCCATATAAGCTGTTAATAAATGATATCACGGAGGAATAATCATTACCATGGTAATAGGACCAGGTACACTATTAACTGACCAAAGCAGATTGCAAAGCAAAATATACCAGGTGAGCCTGTATACACAAGCAGAACAAAGACAGGAGGGCTGGCAGGATATTAAAAATAATAAAAAATAATGAACTCTAAAGATGAAATTACAAATTTCTACTTTTTTTTTGTTTCCTGTTTCTAATTTTACATACTTCCATGTGCCACTTTTGAAACAAGAAAATTTGCCAGAGTTATAAATGATATATATATAAGTATACATACATATAAATGATGTATGGATGAATAGATAGATGGTAGATTAGATGATAAATAGAGGTATGATAAATAAATAAATGGTAGATCACTAGATGGTAGATTAGATACATAGTAGACTGCATGGGTGGCAGGCAGATAAATGAAGGATTAGACAGATGAGAGATAGATGGTAGATTAGTTAGACAAATAGGTGATGGATTAAGTAGGTAGATAGTAGATTAGACAGATGATGGATTAGATAGGGACAGACAGTTATAGACAGATGATGCTTGGGAGAGAGAGAGCAACAGACGTGGACAGGTGATGGATTCGATAGGTGGGTGGTAGATTAGGTAAATCATGATGAGAGGTCCAGAGATGACGGGTCATCTTCAAGTCCAGCAGGCACGCAGAGCAGGACGTGCCGCGGGACCGTCTCTAATGAGCCGCGCCGGCGTCATCAGCCGCAGGGGAATGAACACAGCCAGCGTCCCGACAGCTGTGCCTGAGCCTGTCCCTTTCTCGTCAGGTCGACGCCCGCGGCAACATTCTGCTCAGCACCCTGGAAATGCGGAACGAGACGAGCGGCTCGGAAGTGCTGACGGGCGTGAGCGAGCCCAAGGCCGCCAGCATGTACTCGTACGACAGCGCCAGCATCCAGTACCGCAAGCCGCTGAGCAGCCGCGAGGGCTACGGGCGCGCGCTGGACCGGCACGGCGCGCACAGCAAGGGGCGCATCCGCCGGCGCGCCTCGCAGCTCAAAGTCAAAATCCCCGACTTGACTGATGTGAATTCCATAGACAAGTGGTCCCGAATGTTCTTCCCCATCACCTTTTCTCTTTTTAACGTCGTTTATTGGCTCTACTACGTACACTAAGGTCTGTCCTAAGGGTTCGTAGACTACTCTCCTCTTCTCTTGTTTCTTACCCCACAGCGCCGGCCACCCCCTCCCCCAGCAGCAGCCATACTGCTGTGTTTTTTGAGGTCAGACATTCAGCCATCCAACTGGTTTTAGGTGTTGCATATCAGTTTTATTACTGCACCATGTTTACTTCCAAAAACAAAACACACACGCGCACACACACACCAAAAAAACTTATTTTTTTTCCAGCCTACTGTGGTCCAGGTTATCAGCTCTTTCAGAGCTCTATTAATTGCCGTGTTTACAAAACACACACACACACACACACACAAACACACAGAGAGAAGTTAGATAGATCTTTAGCAGTCCTTCCTACCTGCCCTGGATTTTATTGATTTATTTTTCAAATGAGAATGAAGAGGACCTAGCTCTCTGCGCGCACTGCTTCCTGGTAAACTGTAACAATTTCATGCTGCCAAAAAACAACACAATTTCCAGGATCTCAGAAGAAAAAACAAAGCCATTCACAAGTTACAGATTTCCAGGAAGAAGGGGGGGGGGGGCGGATAAAAGGAGCCTAGACCAGGAAGGAAGACTCCCCTCCACCCTCAAGTCCCCAAAACTCCCTTGTAGAAGGGGTCCCCACTCCATGGGACAGGAGGGAGGGATTGACAAGGGCTGACAGAGGTTATGCAAAACAAATCTGGCATCTTCACCTCACCATTCAGCTGGGTAGTCTGGAAAAAAACAAAAAACAAAAAAACTGCTTCTTTCTCAGACTTGCAAGCAGATTTAAAACTAGCACTAGAATCCATCCTGGCGGCCACTGAGAACATTTTTCTCTTGTTGAGAATAAGGAGTCTGGGGCAATGGTGATTTCTTTAACTATTCAAATGAGCAGCCCTGAACTCATTTCATTACTTCCGTGCCCTGAAGCCATGGCTGCGCTTGTCCCCAGGCCCTGCTCCAGAGACAGTGTGGAAGAGAAGGCAGGAGGAGGGCTTCCATAATGGGAGGGTGAGCAGTTTTTGCTTGAAAAAAAGATTGCCCTTTCCATGAGGAAGGCAAGTCTTATGTGCTGTGAAAAGGGTGCCTGGGCAGTTACCCAAACTGCCAAATCTTAAATCAAATAGTGTATATTTCTTAGCCTTCCAGAGAGCAGCACCTAATGGTGACAGGCCTTGTTGGATAGGCCTCAGGGAGCACCACAGGGCTCTGCTCTCTGAGCTCTGCATTCCAAAGTATTAAATGAATGCTTCAGGAAATGCACACACACCCACTTTGCTGTCATTCTCCTCTGAGGCCAGATTTCTATTTTAAAGAAAAACTTCAAAATAGGAAAACCACAGATAACACCAACAATGACAAAATCACTGGGCCTTCAAAGATGTATACCAGCCCCTAAAGCATAGAACGTGTCTGCACTCATGAATCATTGTCATTACTGCTCTGCCTTATCTCTGTTCACGGGTTACTGTGGTCGTGGGTCACCGAAGGGGCGTCCCTCAGTAGCCCAACACACACCTCTAAACGTTTCCAACCAGCTACAGTTGAGGTTTATCCCATTTTATGTCATTAAAGCCTCATTTTTTTTTTCAGCCCGAGTAGCTAAGAATTCTATATGTTCATTTGCAAGGTTGAGTGAGACCCTAAAACGACCAGCCAGTGATGGAGTCAATTTGTTCGGAATCTGATCCCTGGATGTCAAATAAGGGTTGAGGTAATAGTAAAGATGATTGCATCATTTGATGATCTGGCTTTCTCCCAAAGGCTGTAATGAGGGTCCGTGTTTACAATAGCATCAGCTGCTAGAAACTATAGTCTTAATTGGAAAGATAAGGCCAAATTCCTGCTGATGACCCCAAGGGGACAGAGCTTTGAGATACTCTTTTTAGAGGGCAAGAAGAAAAGAGAACCCCCAAATAAATGAATGGTTATGGCTATAGATAATATACACTAGTAAGAATATAAAAACTGTGCTTTTACTCAATGGTTTCATAAGAAATTAGTAGGGTATGGGGACCAAATTTGCACTTAGGTTTTCAGTTTGCATAATCACAGTTCCCTGGTCAAGAGAATCTCCAGCCTCCCGGGATGAAGGGATCCATGTTGCAACTGACTAGTTCTTGGCAGGGAAAGATGCTTTGCCATCATGAAATGCCCAAATAGAATGAAATGTGACCATTCCGGTGATTGTGAGGTTAACATTCCCAATGACCATCCAGGAACCATTGTGTATTTAAACACAGGAAGGGAGACTCTTGGCTGTTGCCTAACAGGAATGAATCATTCTGGTGTCAAAGCTCTTTAAAAAGCTTTTAAGGATGAAATGCTGAATGAGAAAGGAAGTATCTATAATCTATGCTGCTTAACAAAACAATTTTTCTTTATTCATCTGTTTAGATCGTTCTCCTTGGAAAAGACTGAGGTAATTTATAGTTTTATTATTTTTTTTTATCTTGCCTTAAAAGTCTAAGGAATTTGATGCTTGTCGTTTAGAGGTAAAGCATCTCTGAGAAAAAGAGAACATTTTGAATTCTTCTATCTTAACCTTTGTAAAATGAAAGATTAGTAAGCCTGAAACTACCACCAGGCACAAAATGGTGTCACTGTATGTCCTCCTGGGCTGAAGAAGGGTCACAGCCACAGGATGGTGCAAATCCTATTAGATGGCTTTGATTCTAGAGGCAATGGTAGCCTGAAAACTGGAGAAGCTGACCTATTTCTGGTTCATGACCTCCGTCCCCACTCCCTTCTTCTGGACACCTCCCAGCCAAATCCCCGCCTCCTCGGCCCCCACCCACACTCCCTACAGGCTTCACAGCACCCGGGAAACATTCCTTCCTTCTCTGCCTCTCTCCTTTGTCTTGCTCTAAATGATGTATATAAAAGTTGTTAGACATTCCTAAGTGCCGTCACACTGGTCCCCATTCCTGAAAGATTCAGATCAGGACATTATCGAGGGGTTACTCTCTAGCTCTTCCTGGGTTTTCTTTTTGCCATGAAAATAGCCATAATCTCCTGCATTCCTGAGTGGCGACAGAGGCAGAAGACTGCGAGGACTCACTCTCCTGGGCCACAGTCCTGTCCAGGGGACCACATGTCCACAGCTCATGAACTGTCACATAAGCTGTGTCATAGGTGTAACCTGTGTAGACCCAGCAGAAACCCCACCTTTCATTTGACAATGATGACCACACACTCATTTTTCCCACTCGTGTTCCTTGGCTTAACACATCAGGGGTGATGTGTGTTATGCTTACCAGCTTTGTGAGGCAGACCCAGGTAAAGACACACTTTGGGCTTAAATTATCCAGGATTATTGCCTCCATCCTCTGTATTGACAAACAGAAACAGCAGACTGATTGGTGATTGTGCTGACTAAAGGATATGTGTTCCCATATCATATATGCCATCTTTATTGTGCATTACAAGCAATGAAAGATCCTGAAAATGCAAAGAGAAAAATGTGGTGCGGAGAATAACGTTTGGTTTATGGATCCAAGGATAGGCTTTCCTTAAGCAAACATTATGTGCAATACACAGAAATGCTGACGAAATTCCATCTTTCCAAAATCAAGGACTCCTTTCTAAATATTCATTTATGAAAGAACTCAATTGAAATTCGCCAAGTGAAACAAACAAACAAAATATATTTATAATGCTAGAAGGAAACAACCTCCAAGATTTCTTACATGGACAATTTTGAATAGTATCTCACCAAAGGGTGATAGGCCCCGCCTCCTTCTTTTTCCTAAACAAAATGTAATCCTATATCCCAGGAGGGAGGAAAAAGGAATGTACCAGCATTTGCTCGTATTGATTCAATCAGTAATTCCTGGGATGAGAAAGAAAACGAACATGTATCTCAGTTTCCTGAAAGCAAACAAAGGTGAACTTGTTAACGGAATGTAGAATATTATGTAAACTTCCTTGTAAATTCTGTACATAGTTCATTGAATTGTTCCCTGTTGCGTGGTGGTCCTCGGCTTTGGGTGGATGTCTGAACAATCCGAGCATTGTAAATAATGTGAGCTTGTAAGGCACTTGCTTTTAGAAGTGAAGCAACTAGTGATTTGGGCCCAACCCAGAATCTTTTTCGCTCTTGCTCTTTCTCTGCCATTTTTTGTGCGCAGTTGTGTGACTCGGCCAGGTGTCTTGTGCTCCCTGCCTCATGCCCCCACGGCCATGCAAAGGGACAGTAGCTGCTGAGAAGGCTGCACTCCGGTGGGGCTCAGGATTGGCGTACCTGCAGAGACGGGACCTGTAGCGAACTGCTCCTGGAACCGTGTCGTGAAAAGTAGACGTGTTTTTATCAGTCGTTCGTGGCTATTCATTCATATATCGAAATACCAAATTACCCACGCCGTTGAGGGGTCAGGAAGGGAAGAGATGTTCAAAATCCACAGGTAATCCAAAGCTTCCTTTGCACCCATAGCTCTAGTTTCTAACTTTTTTTCCTTCCACAATGTTTCCCAGAACTTTTAATAAGAATAGAAGTGAATAGATGGGTTTGATCAGGGTACACACACGGTCAGATGTCCAAATGATGGGAAGGAGAAAAGGAAGAGACAGCAAATGACATTGAAACACCAACTGGCTGATTTATCCCTCAAAGATGCAGCGGTAACCATGCCACTGTTTCTAAAAGGTAAAGAGAGATATTGGCAATTAAAGCAAGTATTTTTCAACTGGGGGCCCAGGGTTGTGTTTGGTATGTGCTAGTTAAACTTAGAATCTGGTAATTAAATATTTGCACATATATTTCTCCCAAGTCCTGGTATTCTTGAAAAAGACTTCAGAATGGTGGGATATTCAGCCATAAGATGTGTTTTCATGCCAACTGGCAGTCCCAGAGAAGGCGATGGTGTCTGCAGAAATTCAGAATATCTTAGCAAGCTGGGACATAGATTGGTTTCTTAGTAACATTTTTAGAGTGCACCATGTCTGTTTGGGGGTTAAGAACTTAGCAAGGCAGGGCTTTTTTTGTACCAGGATTTTATGTACCCGGAGAA